CACACACACACACACACACACACACACACACACACACACACACACACCACACCACACACACACACACATATTTTAATATTTATATATATAGAGAATGTCCCAAAAGTGTAATAATTTTGTAAGTATGGTGTTTCTCCGATTTTGACGATGTTAGATGCCTTAGCTATCGTGTTTGTCATTATAGTAGGGTGTAAATTAAACATGGGTATTAGAGAAGCGATCTTAAGCCTAAGGACATTAATTGAAAAACAGATCGAATTTAACAACGACACATTTATCGCATTTATCGATTTGGAGAAGGCATTTGACACAGTTCCCTGGAAGGAACTTTTTAAGACATTAAAAGAAATAGACATTGATTATAGAGACAGACAGCTAATATACAACATATACAAAGAGCAATTAGCTATAATAAAAGTGTCAGACAAGTCTGCAACAGCCAAAATAGGAAAGGGAGTAAAACAAGGGTGTCCACTGTCACCAAAATTATTCAATATTTATGTAGAACAATCTATCAATGAAATTAAAGAAACATTCACTAGAGATCAAATTGGAGTGACAGTAGGAGGAGAATTGATATCATTTTTAAGATTCGCCGATGACATAGCTCTTGTTGCAAACAGCGAAATCGATCTCAAAAGAGCGTTAGAAGAAATAGCAAAGGGCTTCCAAAATTATCACCTTAAAATCAATTGGAATAAAACCAAGATAATGATGTGTCAAAAAAAGAATCGTATTCATAGATTAAGAATTAAAATTGATAACCACATTCTCGATCAAGTGGAAAACTTTAGATATCTAGGTAGCATAATTAGCCAAGATGGAAAATGTACTATGGATATAAAAGCAAGGATCGCTCAAGCAAAAACAGCATTCATGAACAAAAGGAACCTACTGTGCTCTAAAAACATGAGTATACGTGTGAAGAAACGGCTGATAAAGGTATATGTGTGGAGTGTCGCACTTTACGGATGCGAAACATGGGTATTAAACAAAACGGAACAAAAGTTTCTTGAAAGCTTCGAGATGTGGTGCTGGAGAAGAATGTTGCGAGTAAGCTGGGTAGAAAGAAGAACTAACGAAAACATTCTAAACGAAATAAATGAAACCAGGAAGATACTTAGCACCATAAAAGAAAGAAGATGGAATATGATTGGTCATGTCTTAAGACACGAAGAAGAACTTCTGTATATTATAATAGAAGGGAAGATGAATGGCAAAAGAGATCGAGGACGACCAAGAACGTCTTATATCAAAAAGATGATTTCCGATGCAGGTCTAGCAAACTATAAGGAACTGAAGAGGCTAGCTGAAAATAGAGATGAATGGAGAAACTTCGGAAAATTGCAAAACCAACCTTAGGGTTGATTTACTAAAAAAAAAAAAAAATTAAACAACTTAAGTTTAATGTATGGTGTCATAAAAACATTTTAAATAAATTATTACATCTTACGTAATTAAAATGTTTTTTAAAAATAATTTATTAACATATTTGGTAACAATAATTATATATATTTCATATTTTATATAATATTATATTAGGTAGTATATTAATCTTATAATAATGATAAATTAAAATATTCAATCATATATGAATTAAACTATTGTTGTAATGTTGATTAGACGAATAAATCCGTAATTCCGTTTGATATCAATGTTCTATAGCTAAATTATTAGTTCTTACACTTCAAAATTTAAACTACTCAAGTCAATATTGTTTTTATATCACAAATTAAACGTCATTTTTTAAGAGCATTCGTATTTGATTAAGTTTACAAAGATATACTACGATTTGACCTAGTAAAATAAAAACAAATTGATGAATTTTCTTCGAATATACTATTCAGAGTTCAATAATTATAATTATTAAAATTGTAAAATAATACTTCTATTAAAATTTAACAAATCATTGTTTCGATATAATCTATAGTGAAATTATCGCATTTTATCATATATTATGAATTATAATATATGTATTATGATTATAACGTGAAAGTTTGAATGTGTAGAAAATAATAGTTTATGCGAATTATAACCTTGTGGGTGTGTAGTGTGTTAGAACTTAGAATTTAGTCTATACTTATACAGTTATAATACAATTTGATAAAGTTATAATAATATATCATCATTTACTTGTTAAGACTACGGTATAATAAAGTATTCCTAGGTTAAAGTTAAATAATAATATGATATTAAATTAATTATAATTATGTCATTTATTTTATTATTTACGTACCACATCATCATATATCGGTGTTGACTCGGTCCGTCGACGTGTATTGCTGAATTCTTGAACGGGTCTTGAAAAAATGTTTTGCACGCTAATGGCCAATATTAACCATTGAACAACCAGTAATTTGAATGGCATAGGCTCGACGAACATTCGGGCCGTTAGCATGTTATCATACGCTAATCAACAGTCATTTATGTCTGATAGAACACGTGCTGCAAAACACAACACGAACGTCATTAAAATAACTAAAAGAAATAAGAGAATACACATCACATTAAAATATTGGGTACATTTATACTCTAAATACATGTATAAATTGATGAATACTTAAGTAATTTTACATTTTGTGCAGTTGTATAATTTATTATCTTATAGTAGGTAAATTTTTAAATTATTTGTCTCATCGCAATATCATAAGTAAGTACATTCAAATTTTTAGAATAATTTTTCACAAAAAATATTACAGGATCAATATTTTAGACGATTTAATAATAATTAACGATAATAAAGTGATAGCATATTAGTAGTTAATACACAACGAAAAATCTAAAGTTAATATTTTAATAACTTAATGGTGTCTATAACTATAATTTCGATATCACTATTCATATTAATTTTAATAAGTTTGACTGATTACATTAATTGATTTATATAATTCTATGAAATAATTTATTTTATTGAAGCTATGTTTAACTGGCTCAAAAAACTGGGCCTACATAAAATTTTTTTACATATCGACAACGAAAACTAACAACAATGTATAGTGTTATTTATTTGTATAAACTATTATAGAGTATTGGGTATAGTTATACTATATGTATGTAAGTAAATGTATTATACATTGATACTAATAATACTGCAGTTTGTATTATTAAATTTAATGTTGAATTTGACATTTCGTCTTAAATTTAGATGCATTTGATAAATTATAAACAAATTTATATTAATGAAAGAAATACATTTTAAATTATTGGTTGCACAATTTAAATCACATTTTTATTATTTTAAATTACAGCGGCGTCTAACTTGTTGAATTATTTTGGCTGGGGGTTTTAAAAATGCTTTAACAACAATAAATATGTTATTTATGTAATATATATAACATAATATATATTTTATGTAAATGAAAAAACGATATCCACTCTCGAGTGACTTAGTAATAACACTAATAACTAATAATAGCACAATACTATAACAAAATAAATAAATACATACATTAAAAAAATATATATTTGTATATTTTTTATGCTCATTATAATTTATTGTGTAGTCAATAGTCGTATAAATATATAGAGTATAGTTTAGCGTTTTTACGAGGGCATAATGAAGCGTTTCGTGGAGTTCGTTTTTTGTAAATACTAGAATTACTGAAGATTGCCGCGATAATGGCATATAGGCTGTACTGTATTGTATACGGTGTATCCGGTACTATACATGTTGACCAAAAGGCAAACAATTTATTAAGCAGCTACTTCAAATTATGCAGTACCTATTATGACGGATACCACTCGACGCACGTTCAACACATGCAAATAGTAGAAACAAGTCAACAGAGTTTTCGTCTCATACGAAAGATACGTTGAAAGTATTAGGTATTCACCCAATCGCATACTTATTGTTTTTGTTTTTTTTTGTTTAGTGTAATTATTTAAAATGTTAGTTATTCAATTTTCAGAATTTTTAAATATTCTTTAATACTTTATATTTTAACATTTTTGATATTTTTTTTTTTATAAATCAAGGAGTGTCTAGTGGAGATACAAACTTTTTTTCTTTTTAACGAGATCTTTCTCCTTTTCTACTATAATAAGTCTAAAAATCCAAATAAAAACGAATTCATTATTAAAGAAAAACTGGGGTTGAGCATGCTTGATGCTCAATTGCTTCGTATAACAACACGATTGTATGAAACATACATTTTTACTACCTACGCAAACTGTTTAGTTAGTGTTTTTTTTTTTTTAATTTTTGCTACGGAGCACGCCGCGATCGTTTCTAATACAATAATCGAATACCCAACGATAACAACATGACTTATAATATGAACATATATATATATATGTATATCACGAGTATTGTTAATTTTATACACGGCTGCAATGCTACGCACAATAACTCGCAAATTGAGCACGTCCACGCGATATCCATTATAGTAAAGTTTTGGACTGTTGGCACGCCGCGGGAAGACGCTATTCAGTGCTGGCGAGTAAATGCGGGTTTTCGATCTGCTCATAGAGTCCCTGGTCTGCATACACTGTGTTTGTATTGGCTATCGGTCGGGAGTCGCGAAGTTTGCCGCTAGCCACCAAAACACGATCGATATTAGAACGCGCGATGATGAGTCAACGAAAGTTTCACTACCGTATAACACAAACGCGGTATACGTATTATTATATTGTTTTATCATCAGCTTAGTGCGTAGACGTAGACGATCGCGCCGGAATTCGTAGACGTAATACTTCCCCGAATCCTAGCGTATTATTATTATTATAAATTATCATGTTTACGTCCTGTCCCGGTAATGTTTATTGAGCGTTGTACAGGTGCGCGCGGTCGATCCATCGTATAAGAATTAATATTATATCACGTTATTTGATAATAACAATTTTAAAAATATTTGAGCATTAAACGTGTTATACATTATTATTGACGTACTGATTTTTAGCGGATATTGAATTTCGAGAAATTCAAATTATCTATTTGCGTAAAGCCGACGTAGTCCACGTGTCAGTAAAAAAGGATTCATTAACAACGCAATGCGTATAAATAAATAATAACATTATTAGATCCATCTTTTGACAACAACAATAGATACGTACTACGTACCTACGCAAATGCTAAATCTATAAGTGTTATTGCATAGTGTAACTTGTAAGCAATTATAACCACAAACAATTATATTGTTTTCTCAATTTGACTGATTTTATAATTTTTAACCAATGGAACTGTTTTTTATTTTAATTTTGAACAAAATAGATGGTATCAAAAAATTCAAATAATGGTAACACCAACATAATATGAATAATTATATTTTGATCCATTTAGTTTTGTTTTTTGTTTTTGGAACCTTGTTATTGACCGAATATAATGGAAAACCTGGCACTCCGGATTAAGTAATAAGTAATAACTATGACATGACTCCCCATCATCATATTTATAAATCAGTAACCAATTTATAATATTTCGTAGTTTAAGCGCAAAATACAGAATTTTAAACTTAAAACAGCTGTGTCTTGAATTCTTATTCTTATACACTAAATAGATACTGTAGAATAAATATAGTCATCAAAACTGTTTAAAATCAAACGAAAAAACTATTTTCTAATTCACAAAATGTTTGAACGTCTAATAACTGCTCACTTTGTATTTTTCAAACATATCCACTTCATTATGTTATATTATTTTACTGTCTTGTTCAATCATCACATATCCTTCCCGTGTATATAGTATATATTCAAATAAAAAAAAAAATCTATAGGTGCTAGAGGGCTGCTAAGAAAACATTGTAATACATTTGTATGTATTTATACTATTTAGAAAATTACGATTTTAAAATATTTTTGTAAGTTCTCCATATTTTAAGAATATCCCATTATTCTTAGTCTTGTTATGTCCATTGGTTTTGGCGTCTAAATACACATGCCATTGACTCAGACCCAAAAATGGAGTATTGAAATATAGTATTAGATGTTTATTTGTTTATACATTTATAATGATATCATTGACTCACACGATACTAGTTGTTTTTTGCAATTAACACAATATATATTATACATAATGTTATATAATGACACTGTTATTTTCCAAGAAACCGTGTATATTATATACGTATCATTAATTTTTTATGGCAATAAAAATCTACTTATTCTTTTTTGTTATGTTGACAACAGAAAGCGGTATACCTCTATATGTGTAATAATATTAGTACAAATGTTGATAATATTGCAAGTTACTGTCATTTTTGGCAACCCACTTATTTAATGATAAGTATATATGGTTTATAAAAAAATATTAAGTAAATTAAATAAAAATTAAAACTATGTGATTAATTATTAATTTTTGGTACAAATTATTAATAATGCATGTGAAATAAACAATGTTTAAGATCTACATAAAAATACAATCGTTGTTTTATATATCACTTTGTTAAAACAATAAACAAAAACACATCAAAAATGTATATTTATTATTTTGTTTTGTTTTTGTTATTAGGTGGATCATAAGAGCTTAATGACGCTAATAGAAGAGTAAATTGTCTAAAATGTTGAGTTTTCATTAGAATTTAAATAGCGGAATTATAAAAATGATGTAGGTTTACAAACACGGCAGATCGCCAAATTTTTAAGTTTTGTTTATATGTTTATCCTAAAACAAAATAATTACGTATACATAGTTATATAATATAAAAATCAAATTTGAACTAAAAGACTAATTTTTATATATATTAGTTATATGAAATACTATGTAAGTTTATTAAAATAAGCGATTTGAATTATTTGATATGATAATTATTTAAATAATAATAAAGTATATAAATGGTAATAAAAAATAATTTTTAATATTCTTCTTTTTAAGTTAAGCTTATCTATATAATAATTTAATAATATATTATCTATACCTACTATTCAGCTATATAAAAAAAAAATACTATAATTTTCTTATAACCGATATGATTTCATTTCATTGAATGATTTTTATTCCAGAAATATATAATGTTTAAATTACCATCAAATAAAAATATATTGACAGAATTTTCAAAAAAAATTACATTATTGATATTTTACTATTAGTCAATTTAATATACATGATAGATATATTTTTGCAAGACCCTAATTAGGAAATGTATTTAAATCAAATATGATTCATTTTATTTTACTATTCATTATAGTTTGTATTATTTATTATGAACTATAAAAAATAGTGTGAAGTAGATTTAATGGGTTAATAATACATAATTTAAATGTATTTTTTTCTATAGATATGACTTTTATTCATTATATTTTACTGAAAATCATGATATATTATTTTAATTTTGAATGATGTAAAAATAAACTTATAAACAATTTAAAACAAAACTATTGGATAAGACCATTATTTAGAAACAATTTAAATCTTTTATATAAAATTTTTTGATCGTTAAAAATTAAATTATATATTATTATATAATTATAGTAATAGTTAGGTTAGTTAAAAAATATTAGTAATCCGATTATTCATTTACTGTTTTGCAAAATATGTTTTGTAGGATTTAATCCTATCGAAGTGCTATTATATTTGTATTTATAATGTATACATTATAAACAACTACACAATAACGTAGCTATAATCTACTCTTGTTTCATTTACCGTAACGAGTTTACTCAGTTTCCGTTGGTCGAATGTTTAAGTACTTTACTACTTCAGTAGTTAGAGTATTCGATTTTAAATTAGGAGAGAACCTTTTTCAATAAATGGTAGTTTTTCAATAATAAGGAGAAAAATGGCTCCATCGAGTCGGCCCGGCTACTATTTTAACGTAACTCGGGGTACATATGGTTTGTGAGTGGTGAAAGGTGTCGGTGAACGGCGGGGAATAGTAATAAAACTCTTTAGACGCCGTAAAAACGTACATAATATGTATAGACACAACGCAGGAGAGGGGCCACACTTCTATACTGAAGGGTTCAAGACCTCCCAAAGTTTCGTTTTAAGCAATAATAATTGCAATAAAACTTGAAAAATAAAACAAGAAACATCGTATAGATGAGATTTTTAGAGAAGAATTTTATTGAGAAAGAATAAATAAAGAAATTGACGAGAATTCTCTTTTTACGTGCGACCTATACTATATAGATTGGATGTATTGTCAACACAAAGATTTAATTTAATTCAAATTGCGTTGTACATACTATTGTCTACTTATTTTTGTTACGTATTTATATTCTGCATAAAGTACATATGCTGAAATTAAGCAAGTATTCATGATGTACGCAAGCAGTATAATAAAGTTATTGTCGACACGTTTTAGACACAAATGTTCAAACTCAAACAAATGTATTAAAACTGTTATATAATATGCATGTTTAGTTTCTAAATCAAAATCTTAGAAAATAATATCAAAAATAGTGAGTTAAGAATTATGATACGAATTTTTTAAGAATAGGAAATGATATACATCTCCTAACGTAACTTGTTACACTATTTGTTTAATACCTACCACGTATCTATATTACAATATAAATATAGACACATATTTAATAATAAATTATAATTTAAAGTATTTTGAAAAAAGTTGAGTAAATAATACATAAATGTAATATTTTTAGTTTTAAATGTGATAAGCATCTATTGAATTCATTATCATTATAATAATTTAATTAGGATGATAAACAAAGTATTCGATACTAGGTAGGTTATAATATCTATAATATTTTTGTAAATTAATGCATGATATTAATTTTATAATAACAAAGTCATAAAATATGATCATGTTATCATAATCTGAAGTAAAAAAAAATATTACGTACCTAACTTATATAATTACATTCGTTACTTTTAATATTTATTAAATATTGATATATAAACAAAATTAATTTAAGAAATTTAGTTCAATTAATTTTAGATGATTCGTTGTGATAAATCGTAATGATAGAAACTAAAAAACTGTAAACCAAAAATAATATATATTATAATTTATATTTATGTATATTGTATATTATGTAACACCAATTTAATGTTATATTTATAAATTTTAAGAGAACATCGTTTTATACAAATTTGATTGTATTTTCAAAATAATTATATATTATATTTGAATGTTATAGAAATAATATGTGTAGATATTTTTGCAATAACTTACTATGACATAGGTACTTGAAATTATTGATATTATATACTTTATTCAGTATATTGTGCTTTTAATTTCTATCGTGTTTAGCAAGTTTATTGATTTTATGAATGCGAAAAATAGAACACGTTATGGTATTATGCAAATTGTATTCAACGTAAAAACAAAAAAATGCTTTCATTACTATTAACAGTATAAAAATATATCTAATTTATATAAAAATATTTAGGCCAACGAAATAATGAATACTAAATTTAAATTCGTATAAAAATGTAAAATAAAATACTTTACTATTCAAATATTCTATGTTTTATATATTTGTACCTAATTATAAATATTATTTGAATTGTTGAGTTCGATATTCTGTAACTTAAATGTTTAAATGATAAATAAAAATATTACATATATTATTTTTAAATTAAAAAAAAAAAACACACGAAACTAAAGTTGAACACGTTGCAATAGTACCGATTCTTTAAACCGCTATTAAAAATCATTCAATTCGACGGAAAAATGCGTTTTTCGTACAACATATCATTATAATATTATATAATAACGAGAAAAAAATTAACTTACTCAACAACACCGGCGTGCCGATGTAATATTGTATTATTATACCGGCATTAAATAGATTCTCTCGCCAGATCTCCGAAAGTTGGCGACGGGGTGATTATTCGTCGATCGTATTTAATATGATACATAAATATATATTATTATATTATGCAATATATAATATATAACTAATTTTAATTCGTCAAATACTACGTCTAATCAAATTTTATTTTATGCAAAAACTATTACGCGCTCGCATACGTTTATCATAATACGACTACGGGTGTAAGATAAATTTCAAAACGGTCCAAAATGAAAACTAACAAACATCGGACCCAATCGATTAACAACCGCACGCGTCCGCCACGGCCGCACCACTGCCGGTCGGTCGGTCGTTCATTCAACTTGCTGCTACCGATGCCGCCGCCGCCGCCGCCACAGCCGTCTGGTCCGTGCCCGATGACAATATCTGTGATCGCCGCTGTACATGTGCAGCATCGGTCGCCCGTACATACATTATACGGAGTGGTTCGTTTGTAAATGGCTACACTGCGTAGGATATCGTTTGAAAGTCAATTGTTGAGATTTTGGAAAAAAATAAAGGATATTTTTAAATGTATTATCATGTAGATAAAATTATTATAATATTATGATAACATTAAGTTTTTACAAAAATAAATATAATTTTTTAACAATACTATGTCCTAAGTTTGGAGTTAAAAAAAAAAAAAATTTGTAACGAAAAAAATTCAATATTTTTTTTTTTTTTTGGATCGTAGGTATGTTACGATAGTTTCCCTAGCAACGTATTATTTCGTGAGGTAAAAACTAACGGAGTGACACTTTTTCCCAAATACACACGTTCGAAAATTTCTATGTTGAACACTTAAACACACGAAATTATACTTCGTACTTTACCTATCATAAACCATTACTTACAATTACTTGTTGACATAAACAAATAAACTTCAATACCAGTGATATGATTAATAGCCTGCCATAAGCCATATTAATTATTGATGTTATGTTTTTCCTTAAAGATTGAAACTAAAGATTTTTTTTTCAAATAGTGATCGAAATGATCGAATATACCTTTTTAGGTAAACGGTGGATTAATCCGATGATTATTTAAATCAAACTATCAGTCTAAGAAAAAAATAAATGGATTACTCTGTATAGTGTGCGTGGCGCAGTAAATTAAACGATGGATCCGTCTGTCCAACAGACATTATTATTTGCACGACGAAAACTAGTTTGCCGTTTTTATAGTTGCGGGTTGTTCTACCGTTCTACGGCGTAAATATGTGGCGCAATAAAACTGTTGTCATGTTAGATCCATTATGCCTAATTTATAAATAGTCACAGAAATTCTAATCAGTGTAGTTACATTAAACAGTTAATTACGTACATTGTATTTCGAAAAATAATGATATTTTGAAAATCTTTGTACACTGTTATCATACCAATAAATTATAACAATAACTAGGCATAAAAGTTTTAAGAAAGAGGGAGTGGGGTGGTGACGAAAATTGGAGAAGCAGCCCAACACCCTTTTAGTTTTTACTGCACTAAATATCAAATACTTTCAAATTTTTAATAATATCACCACGACAATGGCTCACTGTTCTATGACTTCTATGCTCACAGTGACGAATAACTCGTAGCATAAATGTATCCTGTGATACACATTTACACATACGATTTTATGAATACAATAAAATAATAAGAAAAAAAGGGTATGTTAGTAAAATTTATATGATATAAGATAAGGTGTAGAGAGGGTTGTACATTTTTTCAAACCATCTTAACTTATAGGCAGTGGCGACGCTAGAACCATGGCCGTAACTAAAAATGTCTGACTCTATTATTGGCCTAACATTAGACATACTAATATTCTAATTTTTCATAAGTAGAAAATAATAGTATTTGTATTTTGTAGTTTACTATACAGTCTGTATGTAATTTAGATCAATATATTTATATATTATAATATTAAATAATTTTTAAAAATTATAAAATATTGTTTCTCAAATTACATATTTTTTTATATATATTTTATAATGTTTTTCTTAAATCTCATTTTTATGGCCCTACCTAACAAAAAATAGATGACACTGGACTAAACTCTGTATGCGTAAAGAGGACACCCTCCTGTTGAGATGATCGATCCTTCTATGTGGGTGTCATGTGGTGATGTGCAGGAAAACTGATTGAAGTCAGGTTTTTGAGGTTTTAGTGTATTTTCTTGTTGGATAGAGTTAAGAGCAGAATATTATGCGTTAAATTTTATTCAATGATAGATAATTACGTTCGAAATACAATTCAGAGTGAAGACTACTGCTAGTCTAAAAATTATTAGGTAATATATATTATTAAATACAAATGTATTTATATTAATGTACTAATTGTATTATTATAATTATAATAATATAGTTAAATTAATTTTAGCTGTAAACATTTTATTTATTTTATTATTAACACTTATTTAATTACTATAATAATTTATATCTATACCATATATTATTATTATTAACGTTTTTAAATCAATGCCAAATTATCGTAAATATCTATATTTTATTTTAAAATTTGAACATTTTTATTATGTTTAACAATAAAAAAAATTGCAAATTTTTGTGATTTTTTTCAACTTTTGAACTTCAACACTTATAAAAAAAAAAATTGTTCAATAATTTTAAACAGCTAAAAAACAACTTATGAGGAATCATATATTAAATTGTTAAGTTTTTTGCATAAGCAAAAATTTTACTAATATCTATAAACAAAAAACTGAAAAAAAAAAAAAGAAAATGTCAATTGTCTTTAAATAGTTAAAAAATAATCAAAATATAGTATTTTGAATTACGCCAAAAATAATTTATTCAATACTTCAAGTATACATAGTTTTCGAATCACAACATAAAAATAAATTTAAATAATAAAACTCATTAATGAGAAATATTAATTTTTACACGTGCATCTTCATAAATTTTAAGCTTTAAACGTTAATGAAATATATTTGTAATTTATACGCTCATTTTTTTTTTTTGACAAATTTATTAATATATTTATATTTATATTATATTATTTATAAGATAGATAATATTGTGCTACGATACAAGATGGTTTCACTATAATTTTGTAAATATTAATTTTATAGAGAAGCAATTATAATTTGATTTTATATCAATACATTGATGATATGTAATTGTGTTTATTAAAACATGGTTGGACTTCAATTTTATAGATTTACCTAAATGCAATCTAAAAGTGTAAAATGTTTACGGCGAACAAAGTGCACTATTACAATATCATTTGTGTATAGCTTGTAGTCTATTCTGTTTTGCAAAAGGACGTGAACGTAACTTGAAATACCAATCGATGTCATCGTGGTCTGGTCATGGCTCGTTTACAACGAAACACATGATTACATTAAGTCTATTTTTGTCCCTTTTGACGAAGAGGAAATCTTTTTCAAAGAAGAATTCCTTTTCAAATACACTTTATTCAAACATACGCTATATTAATTTAATGCTTCCAATTTATTAAAATAGCTGTTTAAATATTAAAACGTATTTATATATATTTATGATATAAAAATATTAAAATACGAGTATTATAAAAAGTATAGAATTATCAAAGTATATATTAACAAACAACTAATTTTTTTTGCGGCACCACGAGACTTGAACCTAAAATTAAACACTATAGTTTTCTAGTTTGATTAAATCGTATGTTTTCGTTTATTTTTTTACTCAGTTCGCATATTTAATAGACCAAAATCAACACAGTGATAGTTACACACATAATATAATACATCAGAACATCAGACATCAATTATAATAAACTATGAGATTATGATTATATTAGTACATTTAAATCATGTTTAATAAAAGATAAAAATTCATGATTTGTTATTTTAAACGTTATTTCTAAATTTGTTGCAACATACTCGTATGTCAAATATTACTGTTATTAAATATTATTGTTTGTAAATTGAGTCATATCCGCAATTAAGATTATTATTATTATTAATATTTGGTTAAATGACATAATAAAATCGCGATTTTCGTTACCTATCTCGAAATCTCGAAAAAAACGGCGTACAGTCAGCAGTGACGGACCTTAAAGAACTAACGTCGCCGCCGCCAGACGACCCGTCACAATCGTCGGCGGTCCAAATTCGGCATCATGGATATCCTTCTGGCTGGATGCCAAGCAATTTGTTTTGGTGACGAACCTTCGATCACCGTTCCTTCTATCGCTGCCTGTTACAGTGCCGTTAAATCAGAGCTCTCGATCAACCTAAGCTCGACGAGCATCTTGAGATCGTCGAATTCTCAAAAAACACGGTTCTTGAAGAAGTGCGTTGCACCTATAGCAATAAATATTAATTTTTTATTATTAATTATGCATTTTTAGTTGAAAAACAATAATAAATAATTTTTTCTAGTTCTAGCTCAAGTTATAATATCACCATTTACACGAGTCCTGTGTGAAAATTAATCCACAACTAAAGCCTAAAGATATACCTGAGAGTTGAAAGTAATAAATAACTGGTTTCAGAGATATATAAACACGCAATGATAATTTTTTTGACCCGCGTGTATCAAATCTTTAATTTTCAATAATGAGCAGAAATCCACTAGACAGTGAGCGAAAAAGTGAAAATCCTGGTGGTCGGGCAAGTTTCTAACTAAATCAGATTGATTCACATGAACGTATCGATACTTTTTGTCCATCATATTAAATACTTACTGGCAGGATTACTCGCCCGTACTTTTCTATTGGTGAATCTAAATATATACCAAGAGACAATAACGGCTTAAACAGTTCATTACGGGTCGCTATAATATCGATAAAGAAGTGACAAAAAAAAAAAATAAATAAATAATGAATTATGTATGCCTCGTGCTGGAAGATGATTTTATAACTGATTTCTTACCTTTGACACACAATTTTGTACTATTAAATTCAAAATTTAGACTTTCAACTTTAAACAAACGGTTATAGAGCTTGCATTTCACTAACCCTGAAGTAAAAGGTAAAAATAATTATGTTGCGAAACGTAGAAGTAATTTAAAAATTATCGATTCCACTCACCGTCATGTCTCTGGAACGCCGCGTCTACGTTATATTCTACACTCCACTATTATGGATATGTCCCATGGGTAGTCCAACTCTACAATCCGGTCCATTTCATCTTTACACCTCTAGTACTTGGTGCCGCTGAATGTGTAGGTTTTTCTGTTGTGGTCAAAGACAATCGCCGCGTCTACACCATCCAGCTCGTCGAGAAAATCGAACACCTTTATCGGTTTCAGGTATTCTGGCAGCGGTTTGAGACCTTTAAACACCAAATATAGACAAACTGCGCGGGGAATGATTATTATAAAATAGACGACATACCAATGCACAATGATTGAAAAAATTATATTTTGGTAAAAAGAAATACCAATAAAGACATATATATTTAGGTAGATGTATAGGTTATATGTACACAACTATTGTCAATTATATATAAGAGTACCTAGTATTATTTCAGAAAATATAAACGTGTAACATATGTTATCAACGATTAAAATAATAAAATATAGGTTATTGATAACTGCTCATCCCTGTTCATATAGCTAACAAATATATTAAATTTTAATTTCGGAAAGAAATGCACACAAATGCTCTACATATTAAACATATTATCTTGATTATCCGTTGCTCACTCTTTCTCCTGATGAAATTTCTAGCTACGAACCTAGTACTGAGCACTGGGTAATGACCAATGGTCATACTTCAATGCATATCCTCATTTAAAAAAATGAAAATGACTAAATTCAATATTTTATTATAGTTGGCTGTATTGCTGCTGCACAAAATTGAATTATCGAAATAAATAGATAAGGATAAAACATGAGTGCATATTAAGAAGAAGCAAGCTTTGAAGTATCGATCTAGGTCTGAAACGTTAGCAACACTTAACATAGTGACGGATGTTTATGGAAACAACGTTGAAGTATTATCGTTTGTGATCTTCATTCACTACAAAAAACAACAAGAATACGACAATGTAGATACAAAAAAATAAATAAATATTTTGATTTAAAATTTGGGGTTTCTTTAATACTGTTTTTCTTGAAATTGGATTTGAAATTGTTTTCTTTTTAACATATACACGATATCTTTAACGCTCTAAAACCTGAGACATAAACACAAGTAGGTATACAGAACACGCTACATAATTATGCGTACCTACGCATTAAAACTACTCTAAACACTCGCATTTCAAAAGACACGAGTATGTTCATAAAGTTTCTGTCAACTTCCTGGAACGCAAGTTTGATATATTTGGTAAGTTTGGACCACAATTTCAACGATCTGTTCAAGTCCGACCTCACTAATTTATTAGTTTAATTTTTTAAACTTTTCTATGAATTGAGAAAAAAATTCATTGCGGTACCAATTATAATTATTGTTATTTATTACCGGAACTGCATATTGCATTATATATCGTGTATCACGCCCCATATTTGTTCAGATAACGTATTGCTAATACTGATTATTAATATTATATTATTGGTGCTCAAACGCATGATATGGAATTCATAGTATTAGTTTACATTTACGTATTATTTTTATGTAATAAAAACGTACGTATAGTGTATGATGGAACATTCATATATATTATATATATAACGAAAAATTGGTTGAAAATATAATTGAAAATAACGCATATATCGGATTACCATTATAAATATATTAAACTTAAACACGATTCATAAATGTATATTTTGCGTGTATTATTTGTTATATTTTCACCAAATAAAGAGTATTTTGTTTATTTTAAAACAGAAAATAAAGTTTTTTATTTTTATACTTCTATTTTTGAAGCAAGCAGCTAATTAAAATAGAAAATCAATCATCTATGTAAAATGATTTAAGATATCTAAATACTATAGTACTTACATGATATATTATGTTTATATAATTATTAAATTCAAAAAAAAAATGCATTTAATTAAAAGATATGGATTCTGGATATGCGTGATTAGTAAATCACGGACGCAGATTATGAACACTTAATACATTTTTCCATACATTATACGTTAAACTAATAAATCATAAACTATAGTCATAAGGCTACAATTAATTTTGAGATATTTATACATTCAAGTAATTTAAAATGAGTTCTGTACAGTATAAAAATGCTTCATTCTTGTGTACTTATATTATATAAATGTTAAATAAATATATATATTATATTAGGTAATGCATACTTATGTATAGTTTTGTAATTAAATAAAAAATATGAGAGTAGTAGTAAACCAGTAATGAAAAAGATTACAGTCAAATTGATTAAAAAATATAAATTTTTTATACATTGATAAACTAGGTTGAGTTGAAGTTGCTATAATGTTGTATAAGTTAATAGAAAATGAGAAAATATTTAACGCGAGAGTCTACAGTTTAAAATATTTTACATACGTATGATAGGTACATCTACCACCATATGCACGATGGATAGAAGGGATTTTTCCACGAATAGTATTATTCATTTTTCATCTCCAGATCACACATACGTATCATATTATCTATTTATATATATATGAATAAAACATATACAAGAAAGTGTAAGATACAAAATAAAAATTATAAATTGAACATGCTGTAAAAATTGACCCCTCCGATAATAATAATAATAATATTACATATTTTATCTTTGTAAGAGGTGTAAAAGTCCCAAAACTAAATTCACTTTATTGACATTTTTAATATTTTTTTAAATAGCTATTTATAAAACAATATTTTTGAAAAAAAATTAAATTATATTTTTCATCGTTTAATTTTATAATTTTTTTACTTTTTTTAATGGCAACAGCTATTTTTTTCATTTTCTTAGCAGAATATTTTTTTGTTAACGAATTTCAATGTACAAGTATAATGATCGAATTTCAAACCAGTAGTTAATTATTTATAAATATTTAGCATTTATATTAGTGTTAAAAATACTATAAGTCAATATAATAGCGGTTACCTCATAAATACTCCAGTCATTTACTATTGAGTCAACCCTTATTGACTTATATTAATATAATATAATTTTAGTGTATAATTTATTTTTAATTTTAATTGGAAATTCATAAATATGTGTAGAAACTAGAAACGCATACTCAGATGATTTACATGTTTTTATGAAAATATTATCTTCCAGTTCCATATTTATTATCAAATATTATTTTTCAATAAAATGTTTATTATATATTATAGTCTCGCTGTACATTTTAAGACTACATTATTTGAGTGCTTTGGACTTTCATCATATTTATATTTTAATGTTATTATAAACAAATTGATATTTAATAGATATGTGTTCATAAAACTGAAAACAGATCAATACAAAATAATGTCGAGATATTTATTAATTTATTCAACTATAATAATCGCTTTACGGTCTAAAATTAATATCATTATTACTAATTTTAAATTAAATATTACCCATTTATATTGGTATCCATATAATGCGTAATTAAAAAATCACAAGATTTAAGTTATTTTTCAATGCTTAATAGTATTAGGTATATTATTATATTTTATTGAAATTTAAGAATAATTGATTATAATATACAATATACGTTAAATTGTTAGCTGTAAAATATTATAACAAAACCATTAAAAACTAAAAAGTTACTACTAATATAGTATCAAGCCACTGACATACGTATTTTAATGTAAACATAAAATTCATTATTTTTTTTTAATCCATGAGTTTTTTAAAACATAATATTTGTATCATGTATTATGTATATTTTCAATTATTTTTATATTTCATCTACGTGACTTTATTATGATGTTATAATTTTTATTAGAATATATAATCTTAATAAATTATTATTCTTACTTGACAGTTTTTTCATAGTTTTGGATATTTTTGTTACTGATTAATTTGAGTTATCACATAGTACTAAATTTAAAATGATCAGATAAGAAAAAAACTTTAAAAAGGTAATTTAGAAATTTTAATTGCATATTATTATATTAAAGGTACATATTTTTTTTTTGCATAAACAATAATGCCGAAAAGCTACAATTATAATTTGTATGAGATAAACCGCTAAACCTATTATCATTTTACTTATATTTTTATATACTTACGATAAACTGTTCATCTTTGTTATGATGTAGTCAAGTCATCTTTTGGTAAGTTAGGTGAATAAATTATAATAATTAATATAACTATCATATCTGTAGTTCGTACATGTGGTATTTCAACCAATAAACGAAGATTATAATATAATAGTTACACTAATTATATCGTATAATATATTCTTCCGACATTTCTAGAAAATATAACTAAAAGCCCTACATGTTATTAATTTAATATAAAATTTAATTTATTTTTAATAAGCTTTAAAATTTAAATAATTGCAAAAAATATATTATTTTATTTTTTAAGAATTATGATGCCTAGTATTATCATGGTTTTATATTTTTAAATGTGATACGGTTAACAGGGTAAATATTATAATTTAATTTAATTTTTATAATATATAGAATAAATATATAATAACTAACCGTCTATTTAATAATGTAAGTTATATAATAGCTTTTGTAAATCACATAAACTAATTTTACAGGAGTAAAACAATTAAAAATATTTGCTCACATATTATCTAAATTTCTATAAAAACAAGTAAAAGAATCATAAAAAAAAAAATCAAATCATTTTATACTTTTATACCAAACGTGTGTTAAGCTATAAATGATTCAATTGTAAATAGAAATCTGATTTACGTGACTCGGTATGCGGTTTTACAATCGTTAAGTCTTTTCAAATCCGATTTATTGTTTAACAAGTTGCAAACTTTGTGTAATTTGCAATGATTATTGTTTAAAATCATTTAGTTACTGTTTATGAAATATAATTTTTTTTAACTCTAAATTTTGTTACTGGAGTCAGCATTATATTTTATTTAAATCGGATTTATTGTTATTTTCATCTTTGTATCAAATTAAATCTGCTGTTCTACGAGAATAAATACAATTAATAATGAATATATATAATAAACAAAATATTCAAAAATATTAAAAAACAAAAAGATAAAATTTTAATCAGCAAAATACTCTGAGAAACGATATAGAAATATTTTGCAGATACAATTCAATGAGTCCACATGTTCATTGTTCATGTATGCAATCAGTAAATAGGTTTGCCTAACTAAGAGAGGAAACACATGGAAGATATATATTTTTTGATAATTATTAGAATCATTACACAATTTAATGTTATTATTATTACTATAATAAAATGATATGGTAATAATAACTGTAAATGGATTTTATATTTGTTTAACATCTATAAAATACATTAATTAAAATATAATTAACTTATTACTAAGTAATAAGTATTTTATTAAAACTGACTGATGAAGGTGTTGATTCACATTAATATATGTGATAAAAAAATTACAAAATTGTATTTAATAATCTAGTTATAAAATGCGTGAACAATTTTTACTAAACATATAATATATTAATATGTTGACTATAAATTTATTACCGTTAACGATATACAAAATCGCGATATCGATATAAATAAATTATATGAAATTTACTAAAACAAAAAATAAAGTAAAAATATTCAATCATAACATTAACACAATAATAATATTATACATTACAGTAAATGCATTCATGTAATAACACGCGACATAACGTATTTACTGAATAGTAAATGATTCCGCATAAGAAATTTTACTAACATTATATATATTGTTTTAATTACACGTTATTTAAATTAGATCTTATTGCCTCATTGCAATTGCAGTTGACGATGAATAAATAAATTATGATATATCAAGAAACGAATGAAAATAAAATCCACGCCGCGTTATTGTTTAAACGATGAGATAATAATACCATGTTGTATAATATATTATTGTTATTCTGACAAACAACATAAATCCATATGCGTATTACATTCTACAATCGGCGACGAACATGTAGATCCCCAAGTCGCTCACTCAAGGAGGTTGTGGTGGCGCCAATTTGAACATCACATCCAAATTGAGTGAGTAACTTTGAATATCTATTGCGTTTCGGTATATTTATCATACTTTATTATTTTAATAATTTGTGTTTAATTGGCAGATTTATATAATCTACGTATGCGTGTGAACAAGATATTGTCAATTATTTCGGCATCTAATGTACGCAAATGTATCGTCGTCACGTCACGGTCGTCGTTTCTGCCGTTGTTGTCGTCTTTCCGTTTACGCATAGTGTATAATATTATATTGTATTCCATCCGCAGCTGTAATCCGTTTGTGAATACACGGCAAATATCTATACGCATAAAATATTGGAAAAAGTTCATATATATACTGCAGCAGCGTGTAACGGTTTATTATTTCTATGAAAGCCTCGAGAGTGCGGGTAAATGTGGTGCGTGTAAAAAGACAGTGTAATGAAAGCGGCGTTATTTAATAATAAAAAAATATGCGCTCTTTAAAAAGTAAAAAGAACAA